GGACAGCAGGCAGAATGAGACATAGCCCCCGCCGCATTACTGCTGATACGACCCGATTAGAGTTTCGTGTCGCCGCGCGGTGGTGGCGCCGAGGTCGACGCTAATGCACTAATCGCCAGCCCAAGTGTAAAAGCATTAAGCAGTTCTTAACTGGCATATTTGTTTTTATTTTTCTCCACACTGTGTACTGTTATTAATCATTGAAAAAATTCAAGTAAAAGAACGTGGCACTCGGCAAACAATGTCGGTGGCATTTTTATAGAATTATTTCAACGCAAATTTTAAGTTTGTCACAAAAATAGAAAGGTCTTGAAATTGGTTTCCCTCTGTTTCTCGCAATTACTGTTCAAGTGCTCTAACACGGCGCCTTACGGCCCGATCAGGTAGGCAACCCACCCACACGCGTGCCCACCGTGCGGTGCACCCTCCACGGGGTTCTGCACGTCACTCACTCACTACTCACCCTTGTCCGTCTCGTAGTAGCTCATCTTGAAGTTGTCGGCGCCGACGAGGGTGTCGGTGAGCTGGCCGAGGCCGGAGTGCAGCTGCGGGTCCCAAGGGCCGTCGTACGACGTGTCGAAGAACTCCCAGCTGGCGCCGCGCTTGTCCCCCTGCGGCATGGCGTACGAGACGATGCCGCCCGTCCACACGCAGCCGTACAGCTCGACGCGCATGCACACGGTGCGCCGGTGGTACGAGTACGGCAGGAAGCGGATCCGCGACGCCCAGATGGGCGGCGACAGCTCGCGCTTCTCCTCCGTGTACGGGTTGTGGTTCCCCTTGAGCACCTGCAACGGAAGACGACACAGCGTGATCAGTCAAATGGGGTCAAAGACGTTTGAAACACTCAATAAACAGTCAAATAGGGCCAATGACGTTTGAGACACAATGATCAGTCAAATAGGGTCAGAGAGGTTTGAAACACATAAAAAGTCAAGGTATTCTTTGAGACGAATTTCAAGAAAGCATGGGTATGGGGGGAAAAGTAATCAGCAATCGTTCTTCTTCAGAGTTTGCCCCAAAATCACCACATTTTGCATGGACGCACCAGACGGCGATGATGAGGTGGTCTGAGACTGTGCGACACACACTGCACATAAAAGTCCCGACACACCAACTCTGCTGCGGGGCGGCAGGGTGTGAGGGGAAGCGCGTCTCGTCATGAATCAAAAGGCGATATTCACGCCCCCCATCCCCCCAACACACACACACATGGGCGCATGCTATCTCCCCCGTGCACTAGCGCCCTCCATAGCACCCCCCCCCCCTCCTCCAATCTCCTCCAGGCTGGTGCAGCGAAGCGGCACATGTCGACAGATACGGTTCAGAGTATCATGCCTTTATGATCCGCACTTTGTTACGTTTCAGCGATGACGACGACGACGACGGGCTGTTTCTCCCCGGCGCAAACCAGCGGGTCACGCACAGGTGAGGGTGAGGTGGTTATAGGCAATGCCGCGATTTCAGAGATTAAGTTTCCACAACAAATACACACACACACACACGTTTCACAGTGAAACAAATTTATTATAAAAATAACATTCGATGCAAATTTTGACAGTTAAAATCAACGACGGGATTTTTTATTTCAGACGATGAGTGAACTCTTTGCAAATTGGTCTGGCACTTAACTTGTTGACTGGTCAGCCCATTAAGCAGAGGGATCTATTGCGCCCCTCTCTCTCTCGCTGCAGCTCTTATTTGCCACGCGACACCCACCCGCCCCTCCAACGCCCCGGCGCCACTCCATCGCTGCGCTGTGTGTGTGTTTGCCTTTCATTCGCTCGCTAATTTTTAACGACCCCACGCCCCGGTGGTCGCCACGGCCCGGCGCACTGCTGCTGTGCTGCGTTTGTTGTTGTGGCGATTGGGGTGAGGGGGGAGGGGAGCTAGCTGCTCGCGGCGTCGATCGGATGAGTTTGGGAAAAAGAATAAGAAAATGTCAGCCGCCCCGTTGCATAATGGGGCTGTTCTTTTTCATTTACGTTATTCCCAGCGTGAAAGTGTAAGAACCAAGGCCGCAGTGACACTGATCCCAACCCAACCTCTGGAAAACAGACAATAATTTCTTGATTTCGGGAAATTTCAATTTCGTGGGACAAGACTTCAAGATGAGAATAACCCAGACACCAATGTAAGACTTTGTCCTCTTTCCCATCGGAAACAACAAAACCGCTCTTGACTGCGACGACGACGCGTCGCCTCGGCGCTTCGACACAAGTCAGTCGTCGACTTAACGACGGTGGGAAACGCGGCGATGGTCGCCCATCGAGCGGCGCGCCCGACGACCGTCCGGGGGCCGGGGGCAGTAAACAGGTGTAACAGATTATCCACCGTGTTCGGTCCGGATCCCACAGACCTCCTCTCCTCCCAAAGCGCTGGTCCACACACCGTGTCCCTGTCCAGTTGTCGTCGGTTTACGATTAACCGGCCAACATGGCAGGACATCGGGGAAACGACGAGGCGTCCTGCAGGTCCCCTTGCACCACAACTATGGACGAGTGACACTGTGTGTGTGTGTGTGTGTGTGTGTGTGTGTGTGTGTGTGTGTGTGTGTGTCTGTGTGTGAGCGTGTCGCAGCAAAGTTTACACCTCCAGAGGTGTCTATTTATGTCGTTAACTACAAATAAATCAGCAGGAGCGAAATTTCTTTGGACTAAAGGGCCATAAAAATAGGAAATAAAATTGTGATCGCGTATTCGCTTATGCCTGTATTTTTTTCATTTTTTAAAAAAATCTCAATTTAAAAAAACAAATATCCTAATTTTTAAAAATGAAAATCTCAATTTTTTAAAATAAAAATGACATTTTTTGTATCACCTCGCGACGGAATTCTATCCGATAGCGCCCTCCGAGAGGACCCCCCAGGACCCACCACCCGTCCTGCTCAAAGCGTTATCGACTCGCGCCGTATCCGACCAAACACAGCGATCATCTCGGCTGCGTCCGCAGCGGCAGCAGCAGCGCGACGACGGAAGAACACGAGCCGGGGCGACACACCCACTCGTCGAACTGCGGACGCGGCCCTTCCGCGGGGCGATAGCGCCCGAGCGGACCTGCAGGCCGGCGCCCCGCCCCGCCCCGCTCCGCCCCGACACGCCCCGCCACGCCTCGCCCACACTGTTCACGTCCGGCCGACCTATGGGCGGTCATCAGCCAGGCAAACGATGTAACAGTTTGTCGCCTGTCAGCCGGCCGCACAAAAACCCCCATAGGAACGGGGGCCGCGCGGCCTCTGCGCGCCCCACTATGTATTAGCGTTATTTTTCCACTCCACACAAATATATATTTCTTTTCCCCTTTTTCTTCCCCAGCGCACTCTACACGCGTCGTGAAAGCGGGACAGAAAAAGGAAGGGAGAAAAAAAATACGCTGCTATGCGAGCAACCGTCAGAATAACGAGCTCGTAGAAAGGTAGCGAGCGAGTTCGGAGAGTCCGTCAATGGCTGTGGCATTCCGATGGGCAAGCGATTGGAAGAGAGAGAGGGAGAGAGGGAGGCGGATGGAGAGTGAAAGAACGAGAGAGAGAAGGAGAGAGAGAGAAATTGGAGTGATTGATTTTCGCGCGAATGGCAGTAGGGCTTTGAGGTCATCGTGGGCACGATAGCGAGGGAGAGGCAAAGAGCAGGCGAAGGAGATGGAGAGGAGGTGGTGTAGAGTTACCACCTACAATGACCTGGTCGACCTTTCACACCATAACGCACTCCCACAGGACCTCCCGGGGCCGACTGGAGCTGAAATGATATTTCGAAGCGCGAGGCCCGTATCGCGATTCCAGGGAATTCAAAGTATACAATATGAAGGACGGTTCGGGGAAACATGTTTGCAAACGACGCCAACGGCACAGCAAACGTGGGAGTCGGTAATTAGAGTACTTATTGTGATATTTTTTGGGGATGAGCGAAGCAAAGTTTTAGCGAAATTTCTACCACCGGATCGTTCGTGCAGTGCACATCCCTTTCAACAGTTCGTTTCCCCGAAACCTTTTTCGCCGCGACATAGCGCGGAGTCGGCTCAGTGGTTCCGATTGAGAGGTCAAGACCAAGGTTATACAGTAGGTTGTGGCAGTAGACCCCTCGCGATCTGATTGGTCGCCGAATCGTGACGTCACCATTTGTCCTCCCGCCCGCAGTTCAAATTACGGGTCGTGTGCCCGTCTCAATATTATGTGTTTTAACAAACACAGGATAAAAATATCCACTGTATTTTGTTTTAGCACCCCTCAGCATCGATAAATGACGATACTTTTACTCAGATGCCGAGCAGGTTGAAAGATGC